TAGTAGTAGTAGTAGTAGTCGTAGTAGTAGCAGCAGTAGTAGTAGTAGTAGTCGTAGTAGTAGTAGTAGTAGTAGTCGTACTAGTCGTAGTAGTATTCGTCGTATTAGTAGTAGTAGTAGTAGTAGTAGTAATAATAATAGTAGTGGGAGTCATAGTGGGAGTAGTAGTGGGTTTCGTGCAATCGTCGGAGCAGTCGAAGCAATAGCCATAGTGATAATCGGACTCCCGTGATCGCAGCAGAAACTTGGGGAACTTCACTTCCCTCTCTTCTGTTGCGGCAGCCCTGTTCGGGCCAGCGCATATGGGAACTGCAAGCTGTCTTGGGGGGGCAGAGGTTTCGCAGCGGGGTCTGGGCTTACAAGCGCTCAGTATCCGCGTTCAGGGCGGCCCTGTGCTGTGCGGTTCTTTGCGCCGCCCTTTTATTAAATCCAGCCTTGGCCATGAGGGACCCCCAGAAGACCTCTTTCCCCAAAGGGGTGCAACACAAACGGGCTCATTGCGGAGATGGCCGCGTCAGCTCGAGCTGGCCAGAGGTCGAGGAGGAGGAGGAGGAGGAAGAGATGCGTCGTGGCCCGCTGCTGGCATCCCCTGCACCCCGAGAGGCCAGCGAGCGGTCCTGGTGGACTTCATCATCAGCCTGGCCAGCGCACTATCTTTGACCGCCCCTCAGCCGTGTGTTTCACGGCCGGGTCAGCTCGTGATCGCCGGCCACGGCCCGCTGCGGCAGCCCTGTCGCCGTGCAGAGGAGGGCTCCTGGGCTCGAGGTTTCGGAGTGCTTCTGGGAGATCTCCGTGGGCCTCCCGGGCGCGGCGCTGGCGTCGCCGCAGGCGGGGGTGTCAGCCAGGCGGTGCGGAGCCGGGTGCGAGAAGTGGATGGGCCCCTAGCAGAAGACGGGCGTGGGGATGTCAGGGGGGGAGGGGCGCAAGGGTGTGAGTGTGTGTGTGTGTGTATGTGAGAGAGAGAGAGAGAGAGAGAGAGAGAGAGAGAGCAGGGCTCGAGCTCAACGGTATTTTGGCGGTGTCGTGGACCGTTGTCGTTTTCATTTCGTTTTCCAGCAAAGGCGCAACGAATACAGAGCGAGGAAAACCAATCACAAAACGACAACGATACATACGTACTGTTTAGCTCGAGCCCTGTGTGTGAGTGGGTGAGTGGGATGTGGTCGGGCCTGGGCAGGGGGTGGACGGAGCTGGAGTCCCCGAATGCGAACAGGCACGGTGTGGAGGTGTCAGGCAGAGCCCGCAGGAAGGGGTAATCAATTAGCTGGGGCGGGGTCGGCTCCAGACGGGGAGTGGAGGGGTCGGAGTGCCCGAATGGAGCGGTCAAGGGGGTGTCAAGGGGACGAGGTGGGAACCAGTCGGGAAATGGAGAGGGTCGGAGGTCCACCAGGCAGCAGTGTCTGGGGCGGGGCAGGAAAGTAGACGGGGCGGGGGGCTTCTGGAATCCGAGGTGCGCGGGAGATCCCTCAATGCTAAGCGAAATGGGTGGAGGCGCCAGACTAGTCGACTAGTGGCACATGGCTCGGCTCCTTCTCCTCTTCCTCCTCAGAAATCAGCGCGGAGCGCCAAAAGTCCAATAATCAAGCAGTGGCGACGCGTCCTGGCTCGCCTATAGTCTCACCAAATCATGTTCTAAGAACTTCTGGTGGTTTGCACGAATTGTTCTTACAACATTTCTAGCTGGGGATGCCTTGTTTTAGCACATCGGGTGTCTGTTCTAAGGACATTGATCTGTTCTTAGAACATGTTTGCGTCCTGAGAACATATCCTGGTCGGCCTACAAGAATGCTGGGACGGTCGATCCCTGCTCAAGAGAAATCCAAGACATCTGCGAGGAGTGCCAAACGTTCGTGTTGATGGCGTTTTTTCTTCTTCTAACGGGGGCTCTGAAGACCAGGGATCACGAGTCGGAGGTGCAGAGATGAGGCCCCGAGGGATGGGGCCATAGGGGCAGGGGAGGGCGCACAAGTCGATCCCTGAGTCTTTGAGGCTACCCCTCGGGGCGCCACCTCTTCTGCGACCATGTGCGAACCGCTTCCCCTGCGGGTCCGATCGACGCTGGGGTGTCGGACACCTCCGCTGGAGTTCACCTGGCTGCAGACGCCCTTCGAATCCTGAACCCCAGCCGACGCTTCAGAACTGTGATCTGCAGGCGGCTGCTGCCCGATCTCTGAACCGCCGCACAGGGGCCACTGGTCCGTCCCGGGCCTCAAGTCCAGTCTGGCCGGAGCCGACGCGTTCTCCCCGAGAGCCGTCGGCCGCAGCATTCACCCAGCGGCGCGGAGGGTTCGGCTTGTTTTTTTCGGCCATGAGCCCGCCTGCAGTTGGGCGCAGTATGCAGCAGGACAGTGGGCGCGTCAATGAAGAATCTGGCCTACCAGCGGATACCCCACGAGAACTTTTTGTCTCACAGTGAACTCGCAAAGCCCTGCAAAGTCTTACGACGCTCAGGGCCGACGCATTATGTGCCCCCAGATTTCTGGAAGCACGATTTCTCATGGCATGAGCGCACTGTGCCCCTGCGCAAAACCAGAGTGTGGAGAGATCGCGAGGACGTGCGCAGGCGCGGGGCGAGGGGTGGGGGGGGGGCAGACCTCCGAGATGCCACCGGGCTTCGGGTGTCGCGCTCCCCCTTCCTGTACCTTCTCCTCTGGGTGCCGTTGTGCGCTTCGCATTGTGCAGGTGGCCGTCCTGGCCGCAGGGGATTTTCTGCGCAGCGCCCTGGTCGTTTCTCCTCCTCCCCCTCCCTCGTGCCTCCTGCGTGAGCTTGTGACGCTCGTGGACAACCGCGTGGCGGCGGACGGTGGCCACGGCTACGTTCCCGAGTGTCTGCGTCGGAGAAGAAATTGATCGGAGGCTTCCGAGGAGGCGTCTCTCCGAAGCTCCCGGGAGGGGAGGCGTCTCTCCGAAGCTTCTGAGAGGGGAGGCGTCTCTCCGAAGCTCCGAGGAGGCGTCTCTCCGAAGCTTCCGAGGAGGCGTCTCTTCCAAGGAGCCCCACCCAAGAAGGGAGGCACCTCGCGCCCCCATGCGAATCTCATTTTCCGTCGATCTTGCCACCGATCGCGTTCGCGCGATCCGTGATCAGGCCCTCCGTGATCTTGGTCGTGAGTGGGGCGCCGTTGGGAGCACCCGTGAGCGGATTGAGACACTGGCCCAGGCAGGAGCACTCGAAACTCAGACGGACACAATAGCTTGCACCGACCTCCTTGCCAATTTCGGTGAGCACGTCTGCAAGATGTGTGCGAACAGATCGGCGAGGCGGGTCAGGGCCGTGTGACCTTGGCGCAGCTCAGGGCGAGGCTTCACACTGCTGCGACCGCTGCGGGGGGTAAAGCCTTAGGCAAGGGGATGGTTCCGGTCGCCAACCCCCGATCTACCCCGCCACACACTCCTCCACCGCCGCGCCGCGACGGGTCTGCCATGGGCGCTGCCTCCTCCGGGCGCGGCGTCTTCCGGCGGCCCTGCTGCTGCCGACGCAGATTGGGGTGGCGGGACTGCAACATTTGCCGCGCCGATCGCGGCGGGGGCGCGGAGGCCGATGGTGCCGCCGCGACAGCCGCGAGGCTCGCAGCACATGGCCAGCAAGCGTGCTCGGAGCGGCACCCGCAGGGCGCTCCCAGAGGCGTGGTGGCGTTACAACCTCGAGAAGTGCCGCAAAAAACGCATGCTGGTACTGGTCGTACTATCTGAACAACTGGACCTAGACCGATGAGAATGATTGTGAGTATATTTGGGTTGATAATCTTGCCACTCGTACTATTGAATCATTTGACAATCGTAGCAATCGTACTCGGGATCCCAGCATACTGAAACCAACATATGTTTCGTTGATTGCGTTGCCAGATACAACGCTTACGTTGACATTCGAATGATTGCTGTCTGGGTATTCACATATGTATTTCCATTTCACAGACAGGATCTAGGACTTCGACTATTGATTGTTGCCGGCATCATGGGCATGAACGCACCCGGGCAAGTCGCCCGCCGCAAATATTATCACATAATACAGTTCACTTTCTTTTCATATGATGTCGGAGACACAGAGTGCGACGCATGCGAAGTATGATCCCTATGGTTCAATTCGATGACGTGATCCCTCAAACTATATTGCATTCGCTCACAGAAGTTGGGGGGCCGGAGTTCCTCGCGACTGACATTATAGTTACACTAATTTGATCAACTGTCGCAACAGCTTTGGTCACGCGGGCCAGCGTGATGTTTGGGCCTGGAGCGCCCCGTGAGTGGTTCATCTTTTAGCATGCCATGGTCACTTGATGTCGGTCGCAGCTCTGATCACAATCCTTCTGAATTTTGAGTTTTGGGGTGCTGCGCACCCACATGTTTCATTGCATGTGAGAATTGAATTGAATGCGCGTTCTGCGCTCATACCTGCACGCGCGATTTTGTGCGCCGGTGGAAAGACCTGCGTCGTTGTACTTCAGTAGTGCACTTGACGCAGGACTTTCTTTTCTTCTTTCTCTTATTCTCCCAGCCCCGTAGCCTGTGGTGACGGGGCGTCGTCGAGGTGTGCCGAAGTGTTTTTGGGGGGCGCACCCTCGGCCCGCTAAGGCGGATAAGCTCCCCCAAGTACCCCGTGCTGCGTGGTTGGTCCCTTTCTTACTCTCCTAGCCAACCAAGGGGGCCCCGTTTGGGGGTCGCGGGGGATGGAACGGTGTTTTCAGTGGTCTCCACACCTCTGTTCCCGAGTCCCGCCTTTGTTTCCCGTGGGCCCGAGGCCTAGGTGGAGCGGGCAGGATTCGGGACGGTGTGTGTGTGTGTGTGAGTGTGAAGACCGCGCGCATCACCTTTCTATCAATATATCCTGCAATTCTCTTGGCTCAGGGTATTGGATACTGGGACAGCGCCGCATGCCCGCGGCGCATTTGGGGAACAAAGGATCGCTACCTTCCCCCTGGCCTTCCTCTACCCACGGACAACGCTGTAGTTTCAAATCTTCGGTCGTTAACCTACATGCGCATCCAGGACATGTATATACCGCGCTCCGCCCCTTTTGTAACTCGCCGCCCGCGCAAGGAATCCTTTTGTGAGGTTGTGCCCCCCCAAAATCGGCCCAAGGCGGATTCAGATATCAAAATTCGAAGATTGCGGATAAGGCGGATATGGGATCACAAGCAGGAAAAGCACACGTCCTGTTTACAATTGCTGAACCATAACAATCGTGGGGCCACGTTTTCTCTGTGCGTGCGCGGGGGCCGCTGCAGTTCAAGACTGTTGCCTTGTAGCAAATGCGATGCAATTAGGTGAAAACCGTAGGTTTCTACAAAGAAGCAATTGGTTCTTTGGCAGAGGGGGCAAGTGACACCTGTGACAACACAGTGTTTCCGCAATTTTGTGTGCGCTTCCCCCCCCCCGACGCTTTGGAGTTTTGCCTTCAGGGTCCGCCACCAAAAGCGTTCCACTGGTCGCGCCTTACACAGCGATTCCTTTTGTAATTCTCCCTCCACAAGAGGAGTCATTTGGGAAATGGCGCCACAGAAAGAAGTCCTGTGCAAGGCGCCAAGAAAAGTCAGTGTGACACCCGCCAAACAACAATACCAATGTGTATCCCGCGACCAGAGGTGTCAGGTTGGAGCCCGCCGCAATAATGCGTTTTTTACCTAACAGCTTTTGCTACTGGGTTTCTAGTGGTCTCAAAAGAAAGCATCATGACTCCTCAGGGGGGTCTGGGCGGGACCCGGACAGGCTGCCGCCGAAGCCGAAATCGCTTAGGACATCCTCGCAAAATCGCTCTTGGTGCTCCCAGAACTCCATTCCCGGGCCACATTTTGGATGCCCGGAGCCAACTGTAGGCCACTTCGTGCTCTTCGACTTCCCAGAACTCCATTCCCGGGCCACATTTTGGATGCCCGGAACCAACTGTAGGCCACTTCGTGTCTTCTTCCCAGAACTCCACTTCCTTGGGCATGATTTTGAATGCCCGGAGCCAACTGTAGGCCACTTCGTGTTCTTCTAATTCCCAGAACTCCACTCCTGGGCCACATTTTGAATGCTGAGGCAGGCTGATGCTGAGGCTGAGGCAGGCTGAGGCAGGCTGAGGCTGAGGCCGAGGCTGAAGGCAGACTGAGGCTGAGGCTGAAGCAGACTGAGGCTGAGGCTGAGGCAGGCTGAGGCTGAGGCTGAGCAGGCTGATGCTGAGGCAGGCTGAGGCTGAGGCTGAGGCTGATGCAGGCTGAGGCTGAGGCAGGCTGAGGCTGAGGCCGAGGCTGAAGGCGGACTGAGGCTGAGGCTGAAGGCAGGCTGAGGCTGAGGCTGAGGCAGGCTGAGGCTGAGGCTGAGGCAGGCTGAGGCTGAGGCTGTGACTGCGACTGCCGTTGCCGCTGCGACTGTCATCGCGAATGCGACTACGACTGCGAGAACAGCAGAATTCTACAATTGGATTTTCATCTGAATCTTAAGGGGAATGCTTTCAGATATGCTTTTACACATCGCTGTTAGGTTGCTTTGCCGGGATATTTTTTTTTTTTTGGGGGGGGGTAGCGGGCGCCAGGGGGATTTTTGTAGCGCCGCACAAGGACTTTCTCCGTACGTCGTATTTCCAGGAACCCTTTTGTGTGGCGATGGAGAGAGAGAGAGAGAGAGAGAGAGAGAGAGAAAGAGAGAGAGAGAGAAAGATAGAGAGAGAGAGAGAGAGAGATAGAGAGAGAAAGAGAGAGAACGAGAGAGAGAGGGAGAGAGAGAAAGCAAAAATATATAGATAATGATATATAGAGACATATATATATATATAGACAAGAGAGAGAGAGAGAGAGAGAGAGAGAGAGAGAGCGAAACAGAGAGAGAGAGAGAGACAAATACATATACATATACTGATACGTGATTGTGGTGGGTATGGGGGGATGTTTCTACTTATTCTTTTTTCGCGGAGGACACATAAGGAATTGAAAAGGAGTCACGCTCTATCCGTGAAGCTCTTGAATTCTAGACGCTTCGCGTATCCCCACCAGTCCATCCAGAAACGATGTCCAGGCGAGTTGAGGTGATCAGAGAAGTGCGGCAAGCGAAGAGGGGGACGGCCGAACCGTGCAAAGGAGTGAGGAGGAAAAGGAGGAGGTGGATGGGTGGATGGATGAGGGAGTGGGACGAATGATGATGAATAGGATGAGGAGGAGGCGGAGGAGGAGGAGGCGGAGGAGGAGGAGGAGGAGGAGGAAGAGAAAGAGCAGGAGCAGGAAGGAGGAACAGGAGGAGGAGGAGGAGGGCAAACACAAGGTCCAGAGGTTTCTTGGATGCCCGTCGGAGCCTCTTGGGGTATCGCTTGGGCGATTCTTGGTGGCCTCTTGGGACGCCTTGGGGGTTTCTTGGCGATCCTGGGGTGGCTCTTCGGGGTCTTGGGTGCCTCGGGGGGTGCCTCTTAGGGCTGCTTAGGGTCTTTTGGGGGGCCTCTTGGGGGCCTCTTGGGAGCCTCGTGGTGCCATCTTGGGGCCATCTTGGGACCTATTGGGGCCTCCCGAGCGCTTCTTGGGGCCACCTTGAAGGGGATCGGTCAGCGAAGGGGGTCCCTCAATTAAGGTCCCCCCCAAGGAGACCAAAATGGGGCCAAAACCCGAGTACAATCAATGATGTTGGCTTCCTCGCCGATGCCGTTTTGGACGCTCTAACTACCCGCGGCCCCCCCCGTCCAGGTCGCCCGCAAGCCGTCCCGCTCACTCCCACCCGCCCTCCCAACACATACGTAGCACCCGAGTCTGGCCCGAGCCTCAGCATATTCAGCAGTCGTCTTGGGATGGGCAGCTACTGGGGGCCGCCGCCGCCGCCGCCGCCGCCGCTGCCAGCCGCCGCCGCCGCGCCGCCGCCGCCGCGCCGCCGCCGCATGCCGCCGCCGCCGCTGCGCGCGCCGCCGCGCCGCCTGCCGCCGCCGCCGCCGCCACCGCCGCCGCCGCCGCCGCCCGCCGCCGCCGCCGCCGCCGCGCCGCTGCCGCCGCCGCCGCCGCCGCCGCCGCCGCCGCCGCCGCCGCCGCCGCCCCCGCCGCCGCCGCCGCCGCCGCCGCCGCCGCCGCCGCCGCCGCCGCCGCCGCAACCGCCACAGCCGCCGCCACCGCCGCCGCAGCCGCCGCCGCCGCCGCCAAATGTACTCTGTATTGTTTTTTGACAGGGATGGTGTGGGGGGGGGCCGCATCGGGTTGGCTGCGCATGTTCCGAATTTGGAGCCAGAGTGTGTTTTGTATTGTTTTGTGCAAGGGATGGTGGGGGGGGTTGTCATGGACCCTGGTTGGCCCCGAGTCGCCTGAGGGAGGGGGTGTTTATTAATAGGGAACAGTGATAAACCCCTCCCCGAAGGGGAAGAGGGAGGGGTGGAAGAGGAAACGCCCTGAACCACCGACGCCCGGAGGGCTGGTGGGATTCTTTTCGTGGCGGGTTTCAACCTCATTATTTGGTGAGCTCCGCCCAAGTGATCCATTTCCGGTTTTTGGTGATGCATCTTGTGTTAAGCGTCAGAATTGTGGAGACTCTAAGCAATAGCCTTTTGCGCGTGTTGATGCCAATATAACTGGTGCATGTATCGCGTTTGTAAACGTTCACCGCTGCCCGCGAGGTCTCCCGGAGGCTTTGACAAGGGAGAAAGGCTGCGCATGTTTTGCCAGCGTCGGAACGGAGGGGGAAACCACACAAAGGCGTTTACAGGTTGCTTGTTAAGGATATTCGTTTTAGCGCTCGGGCATGCCAGTATAACGCGTGCGTGTCTCGCGGTTGCAAGCGCTTTCCGCTGCCCGCGACGGTTTTTTAAGCTTTGCAGAGGAGGGGAGTATGTACATGTTCCGCCAATTCCGGGGAGGCCTGGGAACGCACACAAGAGGTCCCTGGGCCGCTTGGCGCAAATCATGCCTTTTGCACGCCCGTGATTGTCAATCAGATATTATGTATTGTTCGACGGCATCGTTGTTTTGAGGTTTCTTTGTTCTTTTGACTCGGTTGTTGCTTTTGTCTTGTTGGACGTCTTTATCTCCTTTCTTTTTTACCTCTGTTCACTTTGTACACTCATTGCCATTTGTCCCCTTTGCCCCCTGTGCTCCCTTTGGTTCCTTTGTGTCTCCCCCCCCCCACGGGTTTGGGCCCAACCCGTCGGCCAGGTGCGCAAAGATGGCGCAGATGTCCTACGATAAGTGTTTACTATGCGCATTGGCTGAAAGTGACCTTCCTCGACTCTTGTAACAAGCATGCGCGCGATGGAATATGCTGCCATCTTGAGCAAAAAACGCTCCAAGCTAGAGCTGGGCGTGGACTCCTAGCATATTTTTATATGTATTTATACCTATGGATGCATCAGCACACCTACCTACCTACATACCTTCACACATACATACACACATCTATATATATACACAACCATACATACATACATGCATGCATGCATACACGCATTCATGCAGGCTTGCATGCATACATGCATACACATACATACACACATACATACATACATACATACACACATACATACATACATACATACATACATACATACATACATAAACACATACATACATACATGCAACTGTTCTTGCATACATACATACATACATATATACATACATACATACATGCATGCATACATACATACATACACACACATACATACATACATACATACATACATACATACATGCATGCATACATACATACATACATACATACATACACACACATACATACATACACACATACATATATACATACATACACATACATACATACAGACATACATACAGACATACGTATATACATACGTACACCCATTGTACCTGCTGGTGTCTCGCATTCAGCCCACTGCTCCTGGCCAGCCGGAGCGCCTTCAAGATCTGCCTTTCTTGTAGCTCCTGTTTTGGAGTGCCCGTGCCCGACCAGTGCTTGTCATGTTACGCAGTTGGTCATTGAAAGGCTCTTCCACTAACCTGAGTTACGGGGTCGGCGAGGTCCTTCGGGCTTCCTCCTTGGGGCTGTTCTGACTTGCTGATCCCCTCCACATCTTCCCTTCTCTTTTGAATCCGCTCCCACCGCCGACGCAGCTTGCAGTCTCAGGTCCGACATCACGCTGCACCTGGCGGTGAGCGTAGCGGACAGGCGGGCTTCCCGCCAGAAGTCAGACGGGGGCGGGGGAGCAGCAGGGAAGCGGGAGGGGAATCGATAAGGTGGGGCCGTGGTGGGGACGGACGGGGGAGGAATGACAGGGGATGGGGGGGAGGGGTTGTGGTAGATGATTGCAGACTGACAGATGCTCAGTCCAACCACAGAGGTTGGTCCATAAACGAGCGGGGCTAACGCGAACTGGGCTAGGCATGTGCGTGCGCATGGTGGAGGACGGCAGGGAATCCGGGAGGCCCCTCGATGGGGTTGGGTGGGCCGGGAGCTCCCTGCTTCTGCGTCCCTCCGCCGCCGCCTCCCCTTAGGGCCTCCAGAAACCTCCAGAACCAGGTACCTTCCCCCCGACCACCCTAGGCTGCCCTCCCATGGATCCTTGAAACAATCATTCTCCTCCTCCTTCTGTTTTTTCTCACCATGCTCCTCCTCATCACTGGGCTCTCCGAAGGATGCCTGCACTGGCCGGCCACGTGTTCGAATGGGCGTGCCTCACAAATGCCCGCGTGCCTGTAGGAGCCAGATCGCCTTTGCCCTTGGGGCTTTTCGTCGAGCTTAGTGCGTCGCGACATCTGCGACGGCCCATGCAGCTCTATGGCATGAAGTTTCTCTGGGATTTAGTATCCCACCTTATGATTACGAGTACGGTCAGCGGGCAGAACATCTAGCGCGTTATCTCATCGATCTCATTACTATTGTCTGTCCCGACATAAACCTTCGACACATGGCATCGGTGCGATGGCCGATTCTAGTTTTCCGGCCCATCCTTGAATTCAGGTGGAGGAGTGGGTTTCAGTCCGCCTTCAAGCCGCGCCAAGTTGCTAACCATGCGGCATGCTGACGGCGGTCGTGGTCTCAGTGATCCTGCAGCTGCTCAGGCGCCTGCTCCTGATAGGTGGTTGAGGAATGTTATACGGAGCTTGTACTGGAACAACTTCTGCGTGATCTCGTTGCGCGGCGCGCGATTCTGCGGATTCGCTATCTCCCGGGGAATTCGGCAAGGATGTCCTCTCAGTCCGCGTCTCTTCGCAGCGGTCTCCGATCTGTACTTGCGTTTCTCCAGCGCCACTTTCTGGTGGCTACCCTGCGGGCTTGGGCCAACGACCTCGCAATGGTCTTGCCGCGGGCGCTGGAGCACTTCCCCGCGCTGCGCGCTTTCTTCGAGAAGTTCGGAAAGGTGTCTGGCCTTCTGCTGAACGTCCCCAAGACGGTGGTGGTGCCCATGGACCTTTTAGACGCGCACGCAACCCGCCGCGCGGTAGGGTCTGGGGTGCCCGCCTGGGCGGGGCTGAGCGTCGCGGCCGCCGCCGAGTGTCTGGGTCTCGTGCTCGGGCCTGGGCGAGGGTAGCTCTCATGGCAGGCGCCGCTCAAGAAGTATGAGGAGCGCGCAATATTGTGGGGGCAGCTTGGGGCCGGCGCCCGTCTGACCGTTCGCGCGTATCAGGCGTACGTGGCTTCAGTCCTCTCGTTCGCGGGGCTGCTGGAACCGCTCCCCGAGGAGTTCGACGCCGTGGAGGGGAGGGCATGCGCTGCCCTCTTCACAGGGCCCGCCGACTGGATCACAGCAGGCTGCCTGGCGGATCTCCGCTCCTTAGGCTTCCCGTGGGAGCTGCGGGACGTGCGGGCCGCGGCCGTCGCGTCCAAGGCGCAGGTGGTTCGCTTCGAGGCGCAGGTCAACTTGCAGGTGCACGCCCGCGCCCAGCGCATGGAGGCGCTCCGCAGCTGCGTCGGCAGCACCCTCGCCCGGGAAGCCTGTCTGGGATCGTGGCGTTCTTGTTGTTTACTTGCGGGGCACGGACCGCCTGAGGGGCGTGCCAGTTTGCGAACCTTGTCTTTGGGGACGCAGGTGGAGCTCCCTGCGATCCCAGTGAGGGGTGTGCCGGCACGGGCAGGGGGACGCTAAGCCAAGCTTGTCTCGGGGGCCGCAGCTGGAGCTGCCCCACAATCCGTGAGACAATTTACGTCTTCCGACGCCGGGAATTGCAGTCCACAGTTAGAATGTAGTAGAACGTAAGCGCGCGAAGCGCGCATGGTTCCAATATGTATAAATTTACATATCTGTACATCTATGTGTACATGTATGTATGTGTTTGTGTTTGTGTGTGTGTGTGTGTGCGTGTGTGTCTCCGAGTGTTTTTGTGCGCATGTCAAATCAGCTACAGTACACACTGCACACATCTTCACATACAAGTGCAGAGCAGACAGCAGGCGATCATGCAGGTGCGTACATATCTGGATTCTGCTCCTCACGCGCTGAAGCTGATGAGAGCTGCGGCTCACAGGTGAAACCAAATAGTGAGGCGGAGGCGGGGTGGGGGGAGGAAAATTAGGAAGATCCCTTATTCCCCCGTGAACAGCAGCTCCCGGACCTGTCCTTGCGGCACGATCTGACCAGGATTGCGCGGCTTATTCCGTCCTGGAGGCGGGTCCCCTTTGGAGCCTGCCAGAACGGCCAAAGACCTTGATCCTGTGGTCTCTGGGGGCCTCTGAGGAGGGTCCCAGGAACAGACCTCGATCCTCCTCCGCCTCCTCCTCCTCCTCAGCAGATGTCTGGGAAAGGAGGAGGTGGCAAGGGCAGAGGGCACAAGCAAGTGAGAGCAGACAACGTCGCCGCAGCCCCAGAACTCCAGCAAGCCTTGGTCACTGTCCAGAAGCTAACCCTCCGCGTCGCAGCAGAGCAGAGAGACATGGCCAACATATGCACCGAGTTCTGGATTATCCCCCGCACAGCCGCAGTCATACGAGAAGGTTTCGAGGCTGGACAGGGGTACCACCAGGCTGTAAAGGAAGCGGGAAAGGAACACAAGCTGGGCCCCCCCCACGTGCACATAGCGGCGGGGGTGATCGGGGCGATGCACGACGCGTCCGGGGACGACGGGACAGAGGGAGAAGCCAAGAAAGTACTCGCGTCTTGGATGGAAGCAGCAGGACCAGAGGAGTACGGGAAAGCATACGTGGACGAGTTTTTCAGGATGTTCCGTTTGAGGGAATGCTACAGCCCAGACGGAGCGCCAGAGCAGGAGCGCAAGGCAAAACTTCAGTACTCACTCAACATGAGCCCCGACCTCAGGACGGTGATCCACCTGGCCAAGGGACCCCCAGCTCAAGTGCCCACGGTCGACATGAGATCCTTCCAGAGCGCCTTCACCCTGGGGCTGATCAAAGCGGGGGGAACCAAACCGACGGGAGCAGGGCCCAGGACGGAGTTGGAGAGGACTGTGGAGCGCCAGCTGCGGAATTTCCAGAGAGTGTGATGCAGCACGCACGTGCACTTGCCCGTGATCCTCGGAAGCTCGCGAATCTCTACAAGATGCGGGGCAACGGGGTGCAGAGAGTCGGGCAGCTAGTCAGAGCAGTAGAATTCGTTAGGCGTCAGATGTCCCAACAGTTGCAATATACGTATTTGTGGGCAGTACTTTTTCCACTGAAGGCGCACAGTACCTTAGTAAGGGCGAGAGAAGGAGAGATGTTGCTGAGTGTAGCCGTCTCGATCGAGCTGTTGCAGGGGGACAGCACAGAGCAGCTGATATTGCTATTGCTCGTATCGCTGAGAGCCATGGCAACCGCACCGGCATCTGCCACGGGAGCGGCCGCAGCGAAGGCTGCGCCAGCTGTTGCTACGGGTGCAAACGCAGTGCCAGTACCTCGCCAGCCGACAGGCCCCCTTCCTGGTCCTCCTGGTCCGATTCGCCCAAAGGCAGCTCCGCCCCGCAGGAACCAGAACCATAATGACGACCTGGGTAGAGTGCATGCAGCTCAGCAGGCCCATCTCTCGACGGGCCGCATCCTGCGATATCACTATTCTATCATTCTGGCGCAGTGCAGTATGTTGAACAGCCAGCTCAGTTATATCCAGCTGCAGAGGGATAATATCATGAGCCCAGTCGTGAATGACACGCACCTGGAGGCAGACCGTGTCACCACGAGGCGCAACTTAGACAGTCAGATAAGCTACTTGACTGACGAGCTGGAGCGTCTGCATGGAATCACCAGGGTGCTGGATGAATCCGACTACGGAGTGCAGCGTTTCGACTGGGAGATTTCGAGACCGAGCGGGAGCAGCGAGAGGGATGAGGGGCAGTAGTGCCAGCATGTCAGCGTGTTTGCATCCCCTCCCTCCGAGAGCTGCTGCTGCCGCTCGCCTCCCCCCTTCTCGCTCCGCCCGTCCCGCGCCGACGACCACGGGCTGCTGCTGTATTTGTGCAGCCGGCAGGACAGCCCTGGACGCGGGGGGGTGGGTAGGGTCGGCTACAGTCAGTGATTCTCGAATCTTTTTTTGTTGTTCCTTTTTGTCCTCCCGGGCCCCAAGAGGCCAGAGGTTCAGCAGTGCGGGGTGCGTGGCTCGCTCCAGGAAGGAGTAACCGCACGCCCCCCGAGTTTTGAGGTATAAAATCTGCGACGGGAGCCTCTGCCGAAGCGGCAGCGCTTGCACCGTGAGGCTGCGGCGTTCGCCGTGGGCGGCAGGGGGGGACAGGCAAAGGTCCCATCCTTGTATGCATCCATATCTTTCCTAGGGGCCCGACGTGCTGCAAGCGGATCGGACACGGCCCCCAACGGCTCCACCACCACCACCACCTCCTCCTCCCATAGAAGGACCCTGTGGACACCCCTGTAGAACTACTAGAGGCCATCTCGGGAGCACTCCGTAGGGCTAGCGAGGACCCTCTGGGCCCCTGTCGAGGCCTCCCAGCTCTCCTCCCTCTGGTGTAAGGCTCCTGCCACGACGAAATCCTGGGATTGATGATTGATGTGGTCCGAGTGGCCAACATCCAGCGCAACTCACAAATCGCCATCGAAGAATTGGCCGCCCTTCGCAATGCCATCGAGCGGGAAAGAGTGTGACCAGAGCATGTGTTTTCCGATACCAGCGCGCTCTAGTCAAAGCCGAGTCAGCGAGGGGACAGAAGGATAGGCATGATTTCCAGTGTTAGAAAGTTGTGGAGCCGAGTGCGTGCTTGGTCAGTAGGTAGTTGAATTCGGGACTG